TGCTGTGGGGCCACAGAACTGCGTAGCAGCGGGACACCACACCCTGTCCCTATGTGGTCCATGGGGCACTGGTGATGTGGGCGGACCACAAGGATGGGCTTCCCCGGGAGCAGGAGCTGCCGCATCCCCCTCTGTTCATCCCCTCCCTGCCCAATGCCAACCCCCGGGCACTCATGGAGGGACACGGGGGCACCTGGAGCAGCACCACTGCAAGAGCAGGGCCAGACCAAGGGGTTGGCACAAGGGAGGATGTTCTGCGGGATGCCATGTGGCTGCACCCTGAGCAAACAGCACCTGCAGGGAGCACCTGGTGCCTATCCCAAGCGAGCAGTGGGGTTGCTGCTGAGATGTGCAGCCCAGCACACGCTGGTGCATGCCCAGCTCCAGTAGTGGGATGGCCTCAACCCCCGCTCCAGCAGGAACACCGCATTGCCCTGAGCAGTGCTGAATTCTCCAGCCCTATAGAACTCCTCTGGCTGTCCTCAGTGCCCCAAAGGGAGTGAAACCCCACATGTGCAGCCCTGGGGCAGCTCTGCCCTCCAAGCAGGGATTTGCCCTGTTTGTTACATAAAGATGAAGGGTACAGCGTGTCCTCCCCTCTCTGTGGTACCTCTTGGGCACAGAGCAAATTTAACGCCACTAATTTGATTTTGAGTTGCAATTAAGGAAGAAATGGGGCCTTTCAGGGCTCAGTGCTGGGTGCCAGCATTTTTCCAGACCTATTAACCTCAAATGAGTGCTTACTGGGGAAGGGGCCCAAGCACGCTGCTAGGGGACAGGTCCTAAGTCCCAGCTGTAGGGGGAACTCAGAGCCTGCCAGACGCCTCCCAGCACCCCAAACCCCATCAGGCTCCCAGAGCTGTGACCAGGCAGAGCTATGGGCCTCCAGGTTGTATTTTCCAAGCACGCTGAGTTCCATTGGTTGCAAAAACATAACAGAGAGCTCTGCCCCATCCTGCCTGAGTTGCACAATGCTGCCGTGCAGCCTGCATGGGGAACCTGGACACAGGGCAGCCATGGGAGCAGGGAGGAAGCTGCTTGCAACAGCTCCTTCCAGGAGCCTTGCGCAACAGAATGCAACCCCAAGATGCAGAAATAATGGGATGTGGCACAGAGCCTAAGCAGCTGGGACAGATCCCGGGGCAGCACTGGCCCCACATCATGGGGCCCCAAAACCCCAGCTCTGAGAACTGGCATGCTCAGCAAATGCTTCTGGTGGGTGCTGCCCAGCACGACCCTTCTCACAGCCCCAGTGTCCCCACTGCCACCTGCCAGAAACTCAGGAGAGCTTCAGAGAGAGTTGTCAGAGGTTGCTGGGTGTGCAGGGATGGGGACTGCATTGGGGACACCAGGCACCCCTCCTCTTGCCATCAGCTGCAGGGGGCTATGAAGCATTCGGGGCAAAATTGTGTGAGAGAAGCTGCTGAAAGGGCATAGGATGGGGGCATGGGGGAGTTGGGTTGGGATGGAGGGGGAGAGAGACTGTAGGATACAAGGGGATGATGGGGCAGGTGAGATGTGGGGGGAGGACTGCAGGGAGGTGTGTATGGAGGGGTTCTGGGGGCCACAGGGGGTGTGCATGGAGAGATGGGGCTGTGGGACATAGCAGGGCACTGTGCATGTGGGAGCAGCTCTGGGGAGTTGAGCCCTGCACCCCTCTGCAGCCTCCCCCAGCCCTCAGCAGACTGCTGTCAGTGCTAAATATAACAGAGTCCTTGTGAACAGACACGGCTGCCACATTCCTGCAGGACAGCCCTTCCTGCTCTCCCTAGGGCCGCCGCCCCATAGCTGGGACCCCATCCCTAGGGGTCTGGGGAGCATTCACCCTCTTCCAGCCCCCAGCCCGGAGAGGGGAGAGCGGATTGCTGGAGGATGGCATTGACTGTGGTACTCCCATGCTGGTCCCCATGGAGCTGCTGTGTTCTGGTTTGCCCCAAAAAACCTGTCCCTTCCACAATGTAATGTAGAGCAGGGACACGTGTCAGGTGTCCCATGTGGTGACAGGCCCCCCCAGTGAGTCCTCCCCTCCCTGCAGGCCCAACAGAGCCAAAAAATGCCCCCAGCCAGGCTGAGCTTGTGCTTCTCCTAATGGAGCTGCTCCACTTTGTATAAATAATTGTCCCTCAGTGTGATGGGGGTGTGGGGCAGGGGGGTGTGCTCTTCTGCCTGAGCCATTTCAGGGTGCCCTTCTCCCTCCTGTCTGTCATGAAGCACTGACACAGTGACAGCGCCCTGCGGTCCCCATAGTCGCAGACCTGTGCAGGGACCTGCAGTGCATTTCTAGGGAAGGAGGGCAAAGTGAAGGCACGTGGCTGCTTGCAAAACTCCACAGGGCACAGCGGTGCCAGCCAGCCCTTGTGGAGTTGGCAGGGTGGGGGCAGAGGGGAGGACAGCATGGGGAAGCAAGGAGGAACGCCAGTGCTGAGGTTCTTCCCAGCCTTGCAGGAGGTGTCTGGTGGTCCCAAGAGCAGCACTGTGGGCTCCCCATCCCCGTCCCCTGTGTCCTGCCCAGCACTGCCCGCATGCAGCTGTTGGGAGCACAGTGATGTTTGCTCTCTTATCTCCAAGCAGGAGGAGGTGAGAGGTGTGAGAAAGGCACCAGCGCCGGCTGGCACCATGCAGTGGGGCGGGAGGCTGTGGGGTGCTGGGAATACAGGTGCCCTCTGCCAGGGGGTTGGAGACCACCGTGTGTCCCTGTCCTCTCCTCAAGGCTCTGTTCAGCCCCCAGGAGCAGTGTGGTGGATGCAGACGCTGCCTTGATGTTCCCTCTCAGGATGCCATAAGCAGGACCGGCACTCAGCACCCAGCACCCCTCACCATGCCACCCCACCAGGCACCAAACTCAGCTGGACCTCATCGTGGTGCAAACACAATTTGTATTTTCAGTCCATGCTTGGAGAATACCAATCCATCTGTTCCAACCACACACAGCTCAGTTCTGCTCTGCCAGCAGAGCCCCTCTGAGGACATGCCCTCAGTGCGGGCAGGCAGAGCCCAGCTCCTGCCCGTGTCCACCAGCCCTTTGTGGCCGTGGCATCACACCACTCTGTGCCCCACAGGACACAGGCAGCACCTGGCTCTGGGGCCGCCTCACCTGCTCAGGGCTCACCGGCAGCACTGCAGTCCCCAGGGGCACAACCCCAGCGCTACTTATCAAGGATGAGGAAGAGCAGCACCATCAGGACGATGGGGAGGAAGATGAGCAGCAGGCTGAGCAGCTCGGCCACCAGCAGCAGGGCCAGCAGCAGGAGGTAGCAGCAGCGGCAGCGGCCTCGCAGCCGGCCCAGCGCACGGATGAGGCCGGGCGGGTAACGCACACAGGGCAGGCACCCGAACATGCGGCTGGTGTGGAAGCGCACCTGGAAGTGATGCTCCAGGGCACCGGCCAGGCCCGGGCGGCGGGGCGGTAGCGCAGGGGGTCGGGGGTCGGTCAGGGCGGTGGGGGGCCCAGGTTCGGCGTGGAGCAGCAGCAGCTCCTCCTGCAGCTTGCAGATCTCCCACTCCAGCATCGGGGTCTTCTGGCGGCAGATGGGGCAGCGCACGCGGCCGAACTCGGCGCCGTCGGCCGTGTCCATGATGGCGCGCAGGCAGGCGTGGCACAGCCCGTGGTTGCAGTTGAGCAGGGCTGCTTTGTGCCGCTCGTCGTCGTAGGGCTCCGTGCAGATGGGGCACTCATCCTCGCTGCCCACCGGCGTGCAGCACAGCTCTGGTGCTGTGCTCTCACTGCTCGCCGTCTCGCTGTCCTCGCCTGAGAGGCTCGGGGTGGAGCTGGAGGAGCTCTCCAGGCTGGGTGATCCCTCCGGGGGCAGCGGGCTCTCCTCATGTGGCAGCACGGGGTTGGAGGCGGTGGGGGGACCCTGTCTGTCTGCCAGGGCAGTGCTGCAGCCAGGCGGCTCGTGGCAGCCATGCGGCAGCGATTCTGTCACGACCTCAGCCACTGTTGGGCTCCAGCGGCCGCAGGCTGTGCTGCGTGCCTCACTGCAGACCGGGGATGGCTCCTCGGGGCTCCCCAGCCCCCCAGGTTCATCCCGATGCCCAGCTGGGCTGCTTTCTGCAGCTATCTGTGCGCATCGGAGGCCGGGCCCCAGCTTCTCACCTGCCAGCAGCTCCATGGACAAGCTTCAGCCCCACTGCCAGGAGGGTTTCACGGCAGCAGCACAGGATCCCCTCATCCCTCCAGCACAGACTGGGGCCACGTGCCAGGCTAAGCGCTCAGGAGCCCTCGCAGCCCGGTGCGTCCCCATCGCCCCCAGGGACGGAGCAGCCCGACAGGGGCATCACCGGGAGCGTCCATCCACCGCCTCCTCCTCCCCAGCACTGCCGCAGCACTGACCCACCGCCGTCCGGAGAAATCCAACGCAGCACGCGATGCCAGGCGCTCCCCGCACGGCGCAGGGCTGGGACCGGCCCGGCTCTCACCAGTCTGGTTTGTCGGCTTCTGGAAGCCGCTCAAATGCAGGCGGCCTGGGGCAGGCGGCCATGGCCACGCCAATCAGCTCCGTGGGAGCCGGGGAGGAGCTGGGACCGCGGCCGCCTCTTCCCCTCACCCAGGATCCGCACCCCAAGGACCAACATGGAGCCCTGTGGCCAACATTTCTGGGGACACGGGCATGACGTTGCCCCCAGCTCAGCCCACCAGTATGGGCTCAACAGTGCCCCAGTACAGCACTGGTACACAGCCCACGTCACGGCTCCACGTCCCCATCAACCCTTGCTGCGTATGGTCTGTGATGGTCTTGCCATTGGGAGAGACCACATCATCCCTGTCCCCTGTACTGGAATCCACTCCCTGCCATGAGCCTTCAGGTTGCTGTAATAGAACAGGGGGAAATTGCTTCAAATTAAAAGAGGGGAGATTGAGTCTGGACATAAGGAAGTTTTTTACACTAAGGACAGTGAGGCTTGCCCAGAGAGGCAGTGATGTCCCATCCCTGCAGACAGCCAAGGTCAGGCTGAGCACTGCTGGAGCTGTGGGTGTCCCTGTGCACTGCAGGCTGTGGGACCAGATGGTCCTTCCAACTCAATTCTATGGTGCCCATAGTGACTTGCAGGCACTGGAAGAGAGAGCATAGCCTGGACAGTGCCTGTGCAGGAGGACACTGTCACCATCACGACGGCTGTTACGCAGCAGCTCCGCGTGGCTCCCCAGCCATCCCCAGGGCACAGAGGAAATGCAGCAGGGTGGGGAGACCAAAAACTGCCCTGCTTCCTCTCACCACAGCTCCAGCAATGCCCTGGAGCACCACACACTCTGGACCCTGTGATCCCATGTGTGGGAGTGCAGCTGGGTCACAGGCACGGCGTGGCACCCCTGTCCCTTCCTGTCCCAGTCTGCTCCCAGGGATTGTCCCTGGCTCTGAGTCATCACAGCCTGGTCCCTAAATGCTATTTACACTGTGGCATGGAGCTCAAGGAACTGGGTTAAGAAGATGGTGGCACTGGTCCCAGTGGGGCACAAGGAGGGCTGGCAGTACAAGGGATGCCAGGGAAAGGGCTGGGGACTGCAGACTTGCTTAGGCCCAGCTGGAGGCAGCTGACAAGCTGGGGCAGAGGATGGGTCCAGCAGCTCATGGAATGGGAAACCATCAGTGGCACTCCAGGAACTCAGGGCCAAGCCTCCTGTGCCTGCCCCTGCTGGCCTCGGCCACCAGAGACAGGGAACAGGTCTGTCGGGGCAGCCTCCCACTGCAGGCACTGCTGCTGCTGACTAATGCCGGGTGGGGAGGCTGCCGTGCAACAGCTCACTTCCTTTTGGTCCTACCACAAACAACAGCCACAGCTAAGGCTGTAGCTACACCAATGCTTGGAGGTGCTGCTGGCCCAGCGTGGGGACACCATAAGCTAAGGACCCAGGAAGGCAGCTCGGTGCCATGCAGGAGACAGCCAGTAGCTTCCCACTACAGAGACCCCTGGCCCCCATACCCAGAGGGGAGTGTGCACAGGGAGCCAGGCTTCACTCACAGCCCCAGCAGGTTCCCCTGCCAGTCCCTGGGAATGGGGTTGGATTAATGTACACCCTCTGCCAGGCCCTACTCTGGCTGGGATAACCTCAACCCAAGGACGATGCCAAAGGCAGATCATTCTGCTGGCTCCTTTATTCAGGCACAGCTCAGGCAGAGCAGGGAGCCAGGCTTATGACCACGTTTCAGACTGGAAGCGCTGGGACCGTTCCAGGGCTGATAAATACTCTTCTGCTTCAGAGGGCGACAGGCCACCTTCCAGCTGCAGCACTGACTGCAGGGCTTCAGCCACCGCCGCTGGCATCTGCTTGGCATTTCTGGAAAAGAGAACGGTGGTGTGACAGAGGGGGAGCAGGAAAACCAAGGCTCATCCACCTCCCTCCTGCTCCAGTGAGGCAGCCAGACCCAGTGCCCCAGCACACTGCCTGGCTGCAGTGGGAACCTGCCTCACCCACAGTGCGGGCTCCCTGCCACCAGTAAATGGCAGCTTCAGGACACAGCTGCACCACTCCCTAGAAAGCAGTGCCATTACCCATGCAGGGCTTCCAAGCACTTGCATCTGCAGGCAAAGATGTGCCCTCAGTACCCATTGTGGAGCTAAGAGCATCACAGCTCAGTGTCCTCAGTTTTGGCCCCTGTATTTCCCATCAGCATCATTAGAGAAACACAGGGAACAGTTCCTAGTCATAATTTCACTGCAGGAGGGCAGGAAATAACCCTTTCATTTCAGGGAGGCATTCAGTGGAAGAAGTGTCTGATCCTGAGCTGGACAGGACAACTGCAAGGGAGCAAGATGAAGGCACCACTGCCTCAGTCTCCTGCCAATAAAGCCGAAACGTTTGTTTTGATGGTGGCAGTTACAATGGAAATCAGTTCAAAACTCAAAGTAAGAGAAATAGTGAAGTAAACACAAGCTCCTGTGTAAAAATACCCAAATAGGATTCAACACTTCCAAGTGCAATTATTTCTAATGGGAAATAAGGAATTCCGACTTCTTCTGTGAGTTTCATTTGAAGCACTGTGTGATAAAAAACATTCAATAAGGAAAAATTCCCAGGAAGCCCCAAATGGCATGAGCACATCCTTGCTGTTTCGCAAGAACCAGGGAGAATTCTGACTTGCACTGAAGCTGATTAATGTCTCAAAATACACAGAAAGGAGGTCTTCTGTTTTTAGAAGAGTTGTACTGCTTCTCAGACAGGCACTGATACGTGAGTGCAAGATACTGGAACTGTGTCTGTGATGGAGAACGTGCCAAATCTCTGTTTTCTGCAGGAGACACCCTCAGCACATTGGTCCTGGGCTGGATAAGCTGGGCACAGCCAGCAAGGAGGGACAGCCCTGAGTCCCCAGCTGCTCACTCAGGGCTGAACCATGTGTCAAAGCCCACCTGTGCTGGTAGGTCCCAAAGTGACCTGACATCCATCCATCCTCATGGCCCTTCTAAAATCCCATATCAGGAGCTATGCAAGCTCTGTTCTATTCCAAGACAAACAACTTTGGGAAAGAAACCAAACCCAAGCCCCACACCTGTGGGTTACAGGTCCCAGACAGCACTGCAATGCAGAGAGGCACAGATAAGCAGGCAGCACAACCAGCACAGGAGGAATGAGGCAGTCAGTGGCCCTTCCTGGGTAGTAAACACAAATCTCATTCTCCCAGGAATGCAGTGAGGCCAGTCTCACCCTGCAAGGCACCAGGAAGTGTGAGACGTGCAGGAAAGAGACTCCTGCAATCACTGCTTATGTCAACAGCAAGGCACATTTGTGGGGCTTGTGTCCTGCCTTCCAGGTCACGCAGGTGCAAGGCAAACACCACTGCTTCTCTCTTATCAACTTGTGGAGTTATCTTTTACAATGTTCTCACCTGGGCAGCCTCCCCCCTGCCCAAGTAGCACCAGGGCAGGCAGATGAAAGGATCTGTCCAGGAAAGAAGCTGCAGACACTGCCTCTGAATGCTCCCAGCTCCTGGACACCAGCTTTTGGCCACTTTTGAGAATTTCCAAGCAGCTCAGGTGAACAGCTGAGCTGCCCCAGAGAGGCAATCTCGGGTCCAAGGAGACAGTCTCAAAAGCAGCCGCTCAAGAGCTACAGCACAGGTACAGCCCTGTCACATACTGCTTCATGAGCCTCCCACCCACCCAAGCAGCAGAACTGCAGTTCTTTGGCCCACTTTGACTGGAGGAGAGCAGTGTGAAAAGATTAAAGGGTTCTGCCACAGACGGATTTGCTGTGGGTCAGAACTGAGGCAGCCCTGGACAGTGAGGGAATGGGCACACATGGTCAGCTGAAGCATCTTTACCATGGTTGCAGCTCTGCCCCTCCTAACTGGAGTGCAGCAGGGTAGGTATGAAAAGGCCCCTCAACCCAGGGCTCTCTGAGCAGGCTGCAAGGAGGGCAGAAACCAACTGGTCCCTCTGCAGCAGCCACTGCAGCCCCCCAACACCTGCTGGGTGCAGGGTGCGTTTGCTTTGGTGGCTGAGCCATGGGAAAGCCTCCAGGGAGCTGGAGAAGCAGCAGTGCAAGGCCTTGCTCCCCCTGGTCCCTGTGGGGAAACCTCACTCACCCAGACAGGTAGATGTGAGCGCCCTGGCCGTTCAGCAGCTCCCACAGCAGCCTTCCGTTCTCCCTGATGCGGTGCTGAACATACACTTTCTCCTCCTGCAAGAAACACAGCGCTGAGCCCACCAGCAGTACCAATACCCACCTGGCCCTCAGTGCACAAACAGATTGCTCCCTGCAAGAGCTCAAGGCAGTGCAGCCCCTTTGGAGAATGGAGGGCACCAGGTGCTCATCAAAGCAGATCAATTCTTGCACAGGGCAGAACTCCATGTGCATGTCAGTGTACTCTGACAGGTCAGTGGCAGATAGGTGCAAGCAGCAGCAGCTTCAGAGGGGAAAGCCCTCCAGGTTGCCCCTAAATCCCTTGGCTGCTTCCTGCCTGCTGCCCAGGGTGCAGGGCTGTGAGCCCCATGAGGGCTCCTCCTCTCTCTCTGTGGACAGAGGAGGCTTCACAGCCTCTCGTACCAGGGCTGCTGTGAAGCAGAGCCTCTCTTGCACCTTTGGCTGCTGGTCCCAGTCACCCACTGGAGGCCTGGAACAGCTCAAAAGGGCAGGAAACCCAGAAGGAGTTCCACCTCCTTCCCCTCCACTGTGCTTAGCGACTGGGTACAACTGGCTCTCAGCAAAGCACAGACCAGCAAAGCAGAGTCCCCAAAGGGTTAATCCTCAACACTTCAGGCATCCTGCCTACAGCCCTGGCGCCTGCCCAAAATGAACTCCATTGCCAACGTGCTTGAATTCACTGCCGGCCCAGACAGCTCCTCCATGACAAAGGTGACACTGTGATGCAGACCAGGCCCTCTGCTGCATGTCCCACCATGCTGGGCCCTGCAAAGGGGCGAGGTGAGCCGCAGGCACAGCCTCCTCCCTGCATTGTCACACCTCCCATCTAGCCCCAAGGCAATAAGACTCCTGACACATTTCAGGCTCTGGAGGTGTGCATGGGAGCACCCCAAGCAGCCTTGGCCCCATTTGTCCCAGGATGTGTCACAGTGCACTCAGGTCCCGCATAGCACCAGCAGCAGCAATGCACAGGAGAGTCAAGTCACCTCTGGGCACAGCTACACAGCCCTGACCCCACTACAGGAGGTGCAAGAGGTAAGTAAGCCCATTGCAAGCACCAACACAGCCAGCCAGCAGCCCGACCTCAGCATAATTAATGTTAATCAGCTAAGTGCTGATAGAGGCTCTATCAATGAGGCCAGGCCTCTGAGCAGGTCGTTTATGGACCTACAGCTACCTAGAAACCAGAGCACCCAACAGACAAACTCAGGTCACAGCGTCTCAGCTAAAGCCCAGGGCATCCTGCTGAGAATTAGTGACAGCCGCATTAGGAAGGGATCAATCTGCTCTGCGGGGCAGAAGCGATGTGACAGAAGGTTGCTACATGGGAACCTTACAGAAGAAAAGGGAAATCCTGCTCAGCTATGGAGCATCCCAGCTCCTGTCAGGCTCTTTAAAAAGAAATTTTTGATGAGTTAACATCTGTGGCATCTGCTAGAGCTGCAGGCACAGCAGCTCCACATCCCACCTAGCCATGCTGCTGAGTAGGTCCCTATGCAGAACTGCAGAGACACAGTGGCAGCAAAACCCAATCTGTTTTGTGCCACAAAATCTGCAAAGCTGGAGGGGCCAGGAGGAACACACTGCTCTAAGTCCTGGCCCTACAGAGTCTGCGAGAGCAGGAAAAGTCTCTGGGGCTGCCCTCCAGATTTGAGGAGCTGTATGTCTCCCATCCACTGTGTGAGCCAATGGAAAAAAGGCAGAGTACTCATCCAAAAAGCCTCTGCTGTGCCACTCCTGTTAATCAGACTCAGAAAGCCTTCACAGAGGCATCCAACTCACACTTTACAAGTGACCAGATAAAAGATGCTGGCTTAATATCAGTGCATGCACACAGCCAGGAGAAAAGGACTGGCACAGCTGAGCTACCTAGGAATACCATTCTCACTGACCCTTTTTATCTGATATCTCTGTTTCAAAGGCAGGCTGAGCTTTTCATACCATCAAAGGATTGGGCAAGGCAGTCAAACAGTCCCAGCTCACTGAGCCACTCCTGCAACTTAAAAACCTTGCAGCCCAGAGAGGGGCTGAGGGAGAGATGCCCACCAAAGGCACTGACTGGAAAATAAGAGAGGTGCAGGGTGCTCTCCCCCCCTGGGAGCTTCTGCCTATACCACTGAGACTCTGGTGAGCTGGCACAACAGCACCATAAAATGGGGCAGGAAGCCAAGCTCTTCAGCTTCAGCTGGTGATGAGAGGGACAGTGGGGATTGCAGCATTCAACCAAGAAAGGTTATTGCCTGTTGACGTTGACCCCCCCCCCCCCCCCCCCCCCCTCAAAAGGCCTGAGAGCTGCTCACGTGGCTCAGACAAACAAAGCTGGCTAACACCTTATCTGCTCTGGCACTTACCAGCTCCGTCTCAGTGACCTTTCCAACTCAGCACAGCCAGCTGTGTCACAGATTGGCCCCTGTGCTGCTGGTGGTAATCTTGGCCAGCACCCAGGTGGTGCAGGGGAGTGAGGTGATCACTGTGCCTGTGTTGAGGTGATCACCAGGTCCTCCTCAGGCACAGGGGCAAAAACCCCAGCAGGCTCCCATCAGCGCTGCCAAGATGCTTCTGTGTACAACCTGTTCCTCCAAGAACTAACCTGGTCCCTGGAGAAGGCCGTGAAAAGCATCAGGAAGCCCTTTGTCACCAGTTCTTCCCACTCTGCCTGGCAGTAGAAGTCCTTGGATTTCTGGCGGCAGCCAAAGAACAAGCAGTTCCCTGTGGAGAGCAGATCAGAAGGGCTGTGCTGGCTGGCCCTGTGAGGGCCATCAGTACCCATGCAACTCAAGAACTGTGTGAGCGTGAATGCACGTGACCTGTGACAACCAGAGGCTGGAAATGCGGGGTGTGGTGGGCAAGTAGGGCAGGGTGAGCCCCTGCAGGGCTGCCAGCTCCCCTCCACCAGCCTATTAGCAGCCTTCTGCAGAGATACACAAGTGGGCCAGGGCAATGACAATGGGACAAGGGCAGAGGGAAAACTGCTTGCCAGCAGCAATCTCAGCAACCCAACTCCAGGGTTCCAGGGAACCAAGGAAGAGGCATTTCAGAGCCCTGTCCTACCCCAACAAGCAGCCTGGCAGCCCAGCCTGTGGTCTGGACATAGTCTGCACACATCAGGCTCTCTCTGGTGCTAATCTCCCCCAGAGCCTAGCTTGCTTCCAACAACAGTAAAGCTTGAGCCTGTCCAAACCCACAGGAGCACCCAATTCCTCATTCCTATATGCTGAACATAGACTTTCCAGCAGCAAAGGGCACCCCGTGCCCACCCCTCACCTTTCTGTCCTTGTGCCACTCGCTCCTGTATAGCTGCTCGGAAAGGTGCCACCCCTGTGCCAGGGCCAATCATGATCACAGGAGTGTCAGGGTCAGCTGGGAACTTCATTCCTCCTTTCTTCACCCAAAGAGGTACCCGGACATCACCTGGAAATAGACTCATTAGCATTCAACATTGCTGGAGATGTCCAGCAATAAGAGCTGCAGGAAGCCAGGAGCAGCCCTCTGTAAGGACTGCAGAGCACACTGGTGCTGGGAGTAGGAGGGTCAAACAAGTGGGAGTAAGTTGGGAGCTCACAGTGCTCAGGGCCAGCTAGGAGAGCACATCATGCTCCAAAGATGAGAGCAGTGAGGAAGGCTGTGCATTTAGCCTATCCTGTTGGCATTGCTGCTCCACCAATGGTTGGGACAACTCCAGCATATGGCCAGCACACAGGTTGCTGCCAGCTCCACAAGTTCTGCGCAATACATGCTGTGCTTTGAAGCAAGAACACAGGGTCCTCACGTAGTCCAAGTAATGTTACCTTGCTCTGGATTGAGAGATGCCAACCATGTAGAGCAGAGACCACGGCGGGGCCTGCTGAGCCGCGTCTTGTACCGCACTACTGCCACGAGGATCTGAATCCGGCCAGGATGAACCTGTGTGCAGACAGCAGCCATGAGAACCAAGACACCCAGTACAGCTCAGTGAGGAGCACCCAATGCCTCCATCAGGGGCAGACTCCATTGCCCAGCTCATACCAGGGCAACACTCATCCCAGCATGAAACAGCTGCTCAGACACAGAGAGCAGGATAAAAGGGTTTTCCTAGTGCAGCACAGAGATAGGAATGCTCTGTGCAGCTGGCAATGGTGACAGAGACGGTTCAAGCCAAGAGCCCTTCATGGAAAGCAATTGCCACCAGTGCTTGGGCTGACATCTGCCAACGAACCGGGGCCAGGTCCCACTGCCACCTCCCGGCAGCAGCAGGAAGTAGCACTACCCTCTTCTGGTACCACGTCCCACTGCTCCCTGTGACATCAGAGTCTGCACTGTGCCAGCTACAGCACTTGCGAACACCTTAACCTGCAGTGGGGGTTCAGGTGGGCTGTGGATGTTCACAGGGTCAGACAGTGCAGTTTAGACACCCGTGGCACGCACAGCACCAGCAGTGCCCTGGCACTAAGTTCAATGCCTGACACGAGGCTGAGAAGGGCCAAGCTCTTACCAGCATGGAGGAAGCGATGGAAAAGGCACGGGGTCTGATGCGAGGGATGAGGTCCAGCAGGTATTCAGGTGGAATTGCAGACGTGGTGTGAGGGAAATCCCAGAGGGCCTGCAAAGCCACGGAGAGCAGAGCTTGTGCATCTCAGAAAGCAGTCTGCCTGCTTTTCTGGGGCAGCAGAGGTCGTCCTGTAGCACTGCCACCCTCACCCAAAGGCCCAGCAGCAGGGATTCTCTGAGCACCAATCTCCCTGTCCCACTGCCTTACCCTTGTCCCCAGGCTGCAACACAAAAACTACAACAGAGCCTAAGAATTTGGAGCAGGTCTTAGCCTGCTTATTCCAAGGACGATTGAGAAAATGAGTAAAGTAAATTAAATTCCTCAGTCAATAAATTGCTGTTCATCATCTGTCTCCTCTGCCTTGGCTGCTTCATTTCTATGGCACAGTCCTCAAGGATGGGTCTGCTGTGCTCCCCCGGGCCAACCTCAAGGGTGGTCCTGCGAGGTCGGTTGCAGTAGCTGTACAGCTCTTCCTGGCCCTGTGCAGAGCTGAACTCCTGCAGCTTCTCCCGCTCCAGCTCATTCGTAGAGAAGTGGGATAAGAGCTCAAAGAAGGAGCGCCGTGGCACACAGGAGATGTCCAGGTAGTGGGTGACCAGGTGTCGGATGGTGCAGGGTTGCAGCAAGTGGGCGGGGAGGGCTGTGCCTGCAAGAGAGGCACCAGAGAGAGCTCAGGGCCAGCTCCGGCACGCTCCAGCCCTGCTGCATGAGGGCATCCACGTGCTACAGGAAGGTCTAATGGAGCTGAAGTTAGCCATCACCGCTGCTGCTTCCCACCATACACCCCCACTCCATCCTGCTCTTCCCAGCTTGCTTTGCAAGCTCACATGCTTGCAACAGAGAACATCAGTAGTGCTGAGCACTCCCTTACTTTTTCTAAGTACTTCCGGACAATGCCTTACCCATATGGTTTCCACCATGCCCACACACTGCAGTGGAAATAACCAGCAGCATCCTATGTGCTAGGCCTGTCCTTGGCTCCTCCTTCTCTTACGGGGGTGCAACAAATAGCTTGAATTTCTCTGGAGTTTGCTTCCCAGACCCAAATCCCAGCACCGACAGTCAGTCAAGAGGTGGTGGGGGAAGGCAGGACACATGGTCTTGAAGTAGCAATTACTGGCTAAAAAGTAGGGGTCTACTGCAACCTCTATGGGTACTCAGAACATCTCAGTGCAACAGCAGGTAGGGTGAAAGGAAAGATGAAAAGAGTTCCAGCCACTGCTACCAAAAAAAGAAAGACCACGGAATTGCTCTGCAAAATCTGGCATCTGATCAATCAAGCCAAACTGGTACTGAAGTGTTTCAAAGCATGACAGACTACTGAGAGGACAGGGATGCTCACATGCCGATCTGCAGGTGCACCAACCAGGATCTGTGATTCTTCATGAGAGGCAGATCCCTGCAGGTGAACCGAAATGCCAGGAACCAATGCTGGGACATATCAGGATCAAGAGTGCTCAGAGATGGCAGGGATGGAGCTCTGGCATCTTGGAGACAGAGCACCTGTTCCCTGTCATGGTAGCTCGGACATTTTCTAGGCCATAGAAGTCCATTAGAGGGTCCTCACAGCACTGTCTAGCTTCAGGTGGCATCAAGCAGAGGGGCTGGCATTTGCCCTGCATCCTTTGTAAGGTCCAGGACTTCTTCCTTCCTGGTGCTGACCATACCAAGCAGGCTGCAGAGGAGGATATCAATGGATTCATGTGCTCTCCCTGTATGGGCAAAAAGACTGTGATGCTGAAGATGTCTGCTGGGTTCTTTCACTTCTGGAGGCAATTGGGAAAAAAAGGAGCAAACCAAAGCACAGTTTAAAGCCCAAAGGAAAGTCTTGGGGTGATGTTTTCCAGTAGATCTCACATTGACTTCCTGCCGTCTTCAGTTCCTCAGACCAGGGAGATGATGAGCACTCATTGGAGAGGAAAGAAGAGAAACCACTCCCGGCACCATGCAGACTGCAGAGCCACAGCAATGCCTGGTGAGTGGGTGCCTCCAGGAGGATTTTCTGGTTGTTGGTGCCAGTGTGTGGCTGCAAAAGCACCTCCATCAGGACTTTGGGGTGCAGGCAGAGCCAGGGGACAAGTGTGCCCCAGCAAAGAATCATAGGCATGGATGGGGGCAGAAGTGAGAGCAACCTGATTTGGGTCTTGGGCTGGTGAGCGTGCAGGATCTTTCACACTCTGAGCTGGTGAAGATATAAGGCAGCCCTGGTATCACTGGGTCCCTTCCACAAGCCTAATGAAAGACCTACACGCATAGAGAGTTGGGAGAGAAGGAGAGCCCCAGCACTACAAGGCAGGCAGATGTCCTGTATCAGCCAGCCACTATCAAATCCTTATTTCCTTAATTACTGTATCTAAAGCAAAGGAAAAGCAGATCTCCAGGCTTGGCAGAGAGGTAAAGGAGTATCCAGCAGCACTTACCAGGCTCTGTGGGCTTCAGCAAAAAGCATTTGTCTGGATCCAAGCGAAGAAGCTGGCAGAACTGCTGCACATCTTCAGGGCAGTTCTGGGGCTGGATCATCACCACGTCTCCAGCGCTGAACCTGCAGATGCAGCAGGAACTGCTCAGCATGGCCACAGGCAATCCTGCAGGCAGAGCACCTTGACCCCAGCCGGCACCCACAACAGAGGAGAGGCCAGAGCTCAACCAAAGCTGTGCCACTAACACTAAGCACCCTAACCTGACAAGGCAGAGCTGGCCCACAAAGCAGGACCCACACTACTGTACATTCCTCCTATGTCCTGACTTTGTCATGCAGTGGGACAGCACAGAGGCTGCAGTCTCAGGCACTACTGAAGAAGGACAGAGGAAATAAGGAAGATTATTCTTGCACAAAAAAAAGCTTGGGGGAGTCAGAAAAACACTCACGTGATCCCTGATCCTGTGACATCAAACTCGATGAGCCTGACATCCTGGAAATGGGATTCAGCTGTGACACGCTGGTTGGACACCATCCGGGCAGCAAAGGGATGTAGCTCAGAAGGAAGAGCCCTGGCTGGTGTTGGCTGGAGCAGGCTGCTGTCAGAGTGCAGGGAGTCCTCAGCCAGGTAGTGCAGCGTGTATCTAGGGGGCAGGCTGCGGGAATTACAGCACTGCAGTCAGTACAGTCATCTCCATGCCACAGCTCATCCACTTAGCTTTATATAGCTATAGCCTTATATAGCCATATATATATAGCTTTAGTTTTACAGGAGGCAGGGACACTCTGAAGTCTCCTACAACATCCACCACCTATCATCCCTGTTCCCTGGAGCTGGCTCATGGTAAGAGATGACAATGCAACAATACTGTCAGGAGGAGATCTCAAAGATGCTGGAACAGAGCAAAGTAAGCCTCTCTATTGGAAGCAGTTAGGTCTTCGGGATGCTTGGGACATCAGTAGTTTTGTGAGGAGGTGTCCTGGCCTTCACCCTGGAAGCATCTCTCCACCCCAGAGAACAACCACAGAAGACATTTCACACCAGCCATTTCCAGCAAGCCTCGACACTCACCGTACATCAGGACTGATGACCTCAAGGCCAGGAGGGAGAGGATACAGTGCAAGGATCTTATCCCATAAGGCCAGGAGCCACGGATCAACCACTGCATCTGGCCTGCAAGTGAGACACTAAGGTTGCAACAGAGTTGTGCCTCCCTCACCATCCTTCCAGAAACCAGCAAGGCTACTCCTGCCATCTGCACTACTGTCAGAGCACAGGGAGGATGCAGTGCCACAGACAACTGTGGCGTTGCATCCCATTCCTTGGTGGATCTGACATCTCTTGGACAATGCTTGACCTGCCCTGGGACACAATCTCTGATGCCCTTTTGCAGCACAGGCATTCACCCCTTGCAGTCCTACAAGACCTAGGCATATGCTGGGGATCATGGGATACCCCAGTGAAACAAGTGACCCCAGCCTCGGCACAAAAGAGGCCTGAGCAGAGACCAGCATGCTCAAACAGAGCAGGAGGCCACTGCCCATGTCTGGAGTGTGGGAGCAGTAGTGCAACACAGCCCCCCACCTCATCACCCCTCCATGAGGCTCTTACCCCAAATCGTGCTGGTCATCTCCCAGTGCAACTGGCAGCAGCGGGTTGCCCCCAAGCTGTAGCACCCGTTTGTGCAGCTTCTTGGCAATAAAATTAAACCTAAGGCAGAGAATAATCACAGCTGTAGAGCGCAGGCTCCTCCAGCAGGACAGCAGACACTGGCTACACAGGCCAGTATGTGCTGCCAGGGCTATGCCAGAGCAGCACACACAGCCTTGCTCAGCCCTCTATTGTGGGACAGTTCAAAGATGCAGCAGCTGTTACTGCTGTACAGTTAGGCCACACAGGCAGTACCTAACTTTGGAGGGACTCTCCAAGGGGTCCAGTTTCACTTCAGGTCAGCTCCCAGAGGGAGAAACACTTCCCTCCCTGTCCCTGACCCTCACAGTCCCACGCTCCCACTGTAGTAGCTCTGTTGGGCACATGGGAATAACATCTGGGAGAGAACTCAGACCAGTGGGGTTGGCTGTCACCTATAACTATGTCTGATGCCTTCTGCTGGCTTGGTCCAGAAATTTCTGTGGCACAGGCTTTCCTGCAATTCAGAGAGCTGTGTGTCTGTAACAGCTGACCAGGAAACAATGTCTGCAGTAATGCAGCAAAGTATCTGGTTGAAGAGGCTAGGAGGAAGGACATGGCAAAAGCCCAGCTCCTGGGGGTTAGAAGGGACATAGACTCGCAGGGCAAGAATTTTGAAGGCAGGTGGGAATTAGGTCTTGCCTGAACTGCTGCTCTAGAGCCAGGCTCTGATTCTCCTTGCCCACTCCATTCCCCACCCTCTCACCCAAGCTTCAAGAATTAGCTGTTGGGTCAGGCAAGGAGTGCAGGAGCTGCTTACTTGGGATAGGAGGAATCACCAAGGCCCAGCACGGCGTAGTCCATCTGGCAAAGGGAAGTGGGTGGCAGGTTTTTTCGGAACAGAAACCGCCAGAACATCTGCAAAGGACAGGGTCAGGAGTCACACTGCTGTGCACAGATGCCTTCCCTCCCTGCTGGCACACACCACAGAGGTCCTTCAGCACTCTGCTGAGTCCTGACAGAGGGGGGAGCACAGTCTTCTGCAGAAGTGACTCCTGAAAGCAGCTATGCTGGCAACAGGAGGGAGACAGTGCTTTGTGAGCCCTCTGCAGACCCCTGAGAATGTTACTATGGCAGGGTCCCTCTGAGCTGCCAAAACTGTTGAAATCTCACCAGCCTGCGTTCCAGCAGTAACATGAGATCCTCCTTAGCCCTACAAAGGTTGGCACTAGGGGACTATGGCTATTCTGACTAAGCCAACATCTGCTTCACACTGCATGCTGCCCCAAAAGTGTCCTCTCCCCTCAAAAAATAGCACTCAAGATCCTTGAAGGAATGAATCAGACCAGTGGATCAGATACACAAAAGCAACATGGACATACATATACATATCCTACCTTCATGTTGTCAGGTGGGTCACCCTGGCCAGTGGTTGCACACACAAACACCACCAACAGCTCATTGATGAGGTTTGCCTGCAGGTAGAAACAAGCTTGTGAAGGTGTATTCAGGACAGCAGCTTACAGATGTGCCTCACTGTCCAGACCCAGCTGCTCTCATGGCACTGGGCTCAGGGACAGACCACAGTCAGTATAAAACTCACTGCCCTACCCAGTATAGCCTCTCTACAGGCACTGCAGCAGCATCTGCTGCCCATGTGCTGACTGCAGCATCAGCTCCCTGGTGCTCTACCTTGCAGGAACACAAAGTATGGCTGAGCAACTACCACTTAACATGGACTCCCAAGTCATTGCTCAGTTTTCATGTTTTCAGCACAAATCACCCTAAGGAAGGGCAAAGAGCTGGGATCTGGTGAAGTACATGTCACAGCAAGGGCAGAAGATGCCTGAGCCCCAGAAATAGTGCTGGTGGGGATGAAGCAAACCCAAAACTGCCTATGCAGCTCCCTGGCTAGCCACTCACCACATCATAGCTGTCCAGAGCCTCTACTCTGCACTGGAAGTGCCGGCGTTTGGCTTCTCTGCCAATTCTTTCAGCTGTATCTTGAGCAGTCCCAGTTTGGCTGCCAAAAAGAATAAGGAGTCTTCGTTCTGTCATCTGCAAGAAACAAACCCAAAGAAAACAGCAGGAGATGAGGCGGTGCTAGACCAACAACTACCCTAGCTTCAGAGGAGTGCTGGCAGCTGTGGGTTTAGGTGAAATTAGAGGGCAGCAAACAGCAAGCATGGGGATTGCCAAACAGTTTGGTGAGAGTTGCACAATTCAAGGTGCCTGGGCTCTCTTTCCACCCTCCAAACAGTACTGAGTGTGTGACACCCTCTTCACTGCAGCATCCAGGTTTGCAGGAGCAGCAGGGACACTGCTGATGCCCCATCAACACTGACAACAAAGGGAGAGTCAGGGACAGAAATTCACATTCTGGCTCATTTTAACTTTCCTCACCACCTGTGCTCAGTGCACGGGTCACACCGTGCTTCTGATTTCAGCACGTCTACCCCGGTGCCATAAGCACCCAAACCCAAGCGGCCTGGGGCAGCACCCAAGGCCCAGTAACGCAGCCACGTGTGCTTGCAGTGCACGGCCACACAGCCGCCTCCCTCACCAAGGGCCCTGGAACTCCCATCCTCAGGAAACCCAGCGTCCCCACGGGCAGTCTGTGCTGCTCCAGAACAGACAAAAAAAAGCAGCGTCCCCGTCACAGAGCAGCTCCTGCAGCACTAGCGGGCCCAGAGCGGAGCCCACCGGGGAACGTGACATGGAGCAGGAGAAACCCGGTGGAAGGAAATACCCGAGAACACGGCCACCGGGTAAGAGGAGATGCTCGGGGGAAGGGAGGCACCCGGGGAAGGAGGTCAGCTGAAAAGGAAACGCAGAGCGAGAGGGACGCGAGGGACAACAACACAATCGCACCTCACTCACCGCGCACGAACCCTACCCCGCCGCCACTTCCGGCTCAGCCACTTCTGGCTCAGCCACTTCCGGTGACGTCATCACGCGGCGCCGCGTCCCGCCGGGCGCAGGGAGGGGGCGGTGCGGCCGGGCCTGGCCCGGTGGCCCCGGGCCCCGTGAGCGGCGGGGAGCAGAGGGACAGAAGGACAGAGGGACAGAGGGACGATGCTGTTCTCCTTGCGGGAGCTGGTGCAGTGGCTGGGCTTCGCCACCTTCGAAATCTTCTTGCACGGCCTCGCCCTGCTGGTGTTCTCCGTGCTGCTGGTGCTGAAGGTGGACAGCGAGGCCTCGCCACTCTCCTGGTGGGTCGTTTTCGTTCCCTTCTTCGTCGCAGACGGCCTCAGCACCTACTTCACCGCCATCGTGTCGGTGCGGCTCTTCCAGGACGGCGAGAAGCGGCTGGCAGTGCTGCGGCTCTTCTGGATCCTCACCATCCTCAGCCTCAAGTTCGTCTTCGAGATGCTGCTGTGCCAGAAGCTGGTGGAGCGCACGCGGGAGCTGTGGTACGGACTCATCATGTCGCCCGTCTTCATCCTTCTGCAGCTCCTCATGATTAGGGCCTGCCGTGTGAACTGAGCCTGTGGGGCCCTCCCCGGCCCGGCGCTGTGCAGTGAGGCTGGACGCGGGGTTTGGGAGGAGCACGCCGTTCTGCTGCGTAGCGTTGTGTTTCTTCAAATGCTTTTGCATTTCAGGCTCACTCAGTCCGTGGTGTGAGTCTTAAAATATCCTAAGTGCAGGCACTTTATGGTATGCCAGGTGTATTATTTTAAAATAAAAGTGCATGGAATAATTTGGTTTATTCCTCTATTCCTTTCTTCCCCAGAAAGCATCTGTACTTAAAATGACTGCCTGAAAAGCACATGGAGGTGAAGATTAATTGCTTCAGTAGGGCCGAGAGCTCTGCAGCCACCATCTCATGTGCACTGCCTGAGACCATGGTCATAACCATCCATTATCTTCAGTAGAATTGCTCGTTTATCTCTATCTTGCTCCTAATCAGTGCTTCATGTGTTCATTGTGCTGGCAGAGTTTTATGGGGCTGAGCTCTGAGCCAGAGAGAGCTGCTGTGCATATTTTTGGACAGAAATGTGTACTTTTATTTTCTATTGTGGATCCATTGCTTACAGGTAGGCATTGGGGTGCTGGCAAGGGTAGCTCAACCCTTCAAGGGAACATGTGGATCAGTGTGTTAAATGCTAGTGCCATAGGGAACTCTGTGTCACAGTGTCACAGCCACCACAAGCATGTTAAGAACCTGGGTCTGCCCCTTGACCTGTCTGTGAGACGTCAACTTTTGCTTTGGTGTTAAGGCTCAGACAACTCTTCTCTTCTTTGTAATGATAGCAGCAAAAAACCCATCTCCTGGTAGCAGGGACCTCCAGCTTCAGCTGCTCCTTCACCCATGCCTGCCTGCCCCATTTACGCAGCTGCTGGCACCACCCTGTGCTCTCTGCACTCTCAGGATCTGTTTCATGGAGATAAGCTGTTGAAAAGGAGAAGTGCTACAGTGCAGGGCTCATAAATCTAGGAGACAACAAGGGGTGTAGCAGGCAGAGCATGCGTTAAAAAAAGTTGAGATTTGCTGTGTTGTGATCTGAGAAATTGAGGTGCTTCTCAAGTTTCATAAAGGAGACTTCCAGCTTCATACCTGAGTTCTAGAAAACCTGCAATTGTCTGGCCTCTTGCATAACTTGTGTTTGCTTTTGGTGTTTTGGAAGCATGCAGGAAGGAAAGGACCAATTTCCCAAGTTTATTTCTTTGGTGTGTTGGTTATATAAACTCGTGGTGTGAGTTCAGAGCAGACCTCATGGGATATTCCTTATCACCTTCCCTTTTGAAAAAGCTCTCCACAGCAAAGTGCCTGGTGCTTCATTCAGGGAATAAGGACTTTGTTACAGATTGCCTCTGAGACCTGCATAAGGAGCACACAAAACACAATACTGTGCTGATTAATGGCAGAAGCTGCAGGCTTCAAGGAGAGAATTTGCACAGAGGAGAACTTGGAGGAAAAGAAAGTGATTAATTGCCCTTCCCGAGGGCTGCTCGTGCCTGGAAGCTGGGATATGGGGACCTGTGTGCTGTCCTTGTGAGCAGATGTGGGCACACAGGCTAGGAAGCGTGGCCCAGGCAAACAAGTGTTGGCCAAGAGCATAAATCTAAGGAATTAATCCTAATAATCCAGTATTTCAGTGAAACACTGAAACTCCCACTGATTCTTTTGCTTTTTAGCTGCAATCGCTGAAGATAACAGATAACTCAGATAATAGGTTGATAATATATATTGAATATATGTCAAGTTTAGACGAAGACTAGTAAATATACTGGAGGTGTGAAAAGCCATTTGTTGCTCCCACAGCTTCTCATTCATGATGATTGATGATGTTCCCTGTGTCTTCTGAGTTAATGTGACACCAAGCCAGATGTGAGAGCCACCTTGTGGCGTTACTGCCGCCAACGTCCCCTTATGTGTAACGAGGATGCAGGTCCTGGGCCACTTTGGTGGCACAAACCCTCCTGGTCTGCCTGGGGCTGCTGAGGACGTGCTGACGTGGCAGCATCCACACGCAGTGATGAGGACAAACGGCACCAACTAAACACATGGCTGGGTCACAGACAGGTGTCTGCATCTGCAGTGTAATAGCAGTTAAAGAGCACATGAGAGCTGTGCCTGCCTACAGTCACCAGTACCCACACAGTGAGAGAAGGGGTTGCTGCTGGGTTAAGTGCGGTATTGCAGAACCAGGTAGAAGAAGGAACTGATTGAATTTGTACAAGGGAGTGATTAGTGTTGGTTTTGACTGCTCTTGGCATATTTCTCACTCTCTGCTGTGCTGCTGATGAGTGTGCTTGTGGTGAGTGAGCTGTGTGGCCAGGCTGGGCAGAGGGAGCTGGGATGCTGGAGAATCACAGAATCACAGCATGGCTTGGGTAGAAGTGACCTTACAGCCCCTCTAGCCCCACTCCTGCCATGGACTTGTTGTCCCCCACCAGCTCAGGCTGCCCAGGGCCCCATTCACTGCCTGGGCACTTCCAAGGATGGGGCACCCACAGTTTCTCTGGGCAGCAGTGCCAGTGCCACTTCCTATCCGGGAGGGTGGGAAGTGAATCCCACCAAGGAGATGCATACCTGAGGTGCCAGCAAAGTGCTCATGGGCTGACTAGTGGGAAAGGGAATGTGCTGCTCCTCCATCCCACATCTTCTGGACCCTGGGCTCCCCTTCTCTCCTTTGCCTGTAGCCAAAGGAGAGGCCCCCAGGCTGCTGCTGAGCTCTTGCCCTTCTGGTTCTCACCAAGCTCAGTTCAGGCTGTCCAAAAGGTCTGGCCATCGCTAGCAAGGCATCAGTGGGCAGATAGAGAGGAGCACCGTAGTGGCTTAAACCTTTTCTTCTCCAGCAGCCAGGTGAGACTGAGTGGTTCCAGGCAGGGGTTGGCATTTGGGGCATGGCCAAAGTCAACTACTGCATGTCAGGACATTGGCAGTGCCCCTGTGAGTATAGGGCAGATCTCTCCCAGCCCTGGGAGATGCTCTGATGGCAATGAGACAGGTGGCTGCTGCTTTTCTCCCTTGTGCACAAGGAGGGAATTTCCACTAGTGATGAAGGTTGTCCCTGCATGCTGGTGCTTGCTCATCCAGGCTGTCACAGAGAAGCAGTGGCAGAACCGGTGTCAGTTGAGCAGGATCCCTCAGTTGGCACCTCAGGCTGGGCCATGTGGTGTGACCTGCTTCTGGACTGGGTGTCCCCAGTGATTCTAAGTGGCTTGTGCTAGCCTGGGATCAGGCTCCAGCACTGCAAGTAGAAGACAGGAACATCCATTTAGCTTGGTCCTTTTGAACCCTTAGGTGGCGCCGGCATTCGGATGTGGGGAGTTGACTCCTCTGCTTCTGCATCTCCTTTGAAGTGGTTTTCCAGGGCTTGGTGCCAACCAGGTGAGACCATGCTGTTCCCAAGCTTACCTTGAGTCAGTCCACCTGGAGCCAGCTGTTGCTCACTTGCGTCACACTATGGTGCACCAAGGTCACAGCACCTGGGAGGAAGCAGGAGTTGTTCCTTGCCTTCTCTCTGCTTGCACAACAAGTTTTCCCCCACTCTTGGAGTCCCCATGCTGCAGTTGTGCCCACAAAGCCTCGAGTCATGGTCCACAGGCACTGTGTCACCTCACTGACTTCTTCACATGGGGCTGGGGTGAGGACTGGGGGTGGTGTGGTGAGGGTGAGACAGGGCTGGCGTGAGTGGTGGCACTACCAGGATCTGCTGAAGGGTCTGAAGGACACAGAGGAGGAAGGACATGGTGGGACATGGTGGGGATGGAGAGAAGTGGGAAGCAGGAGGAATCTCTGAGTCAGGAGAGGACGCTCACTGAGTCCTTTGGGGATGGATGGATGCCTTTGGGCTGCCGGAGCTCCCCGCCCAGCCAGCTAATTAACACAGGAAAGGGGCACACCACGAGAAGATCAGACGGATGATGGTATCCCACAGCCTTGCTGTGACATGGGGCAGCTCCTGGCACTGAGCTGTGGTGGGGCTTGCCCAGACCCATCAGGCCCAACCTGACTGTGTCACCAGGCTGTGGGGTGTGACACAGGAGATGATGCCACATCCACCTGCATGCGGCTCATTCTGCATTTTGTGCACCCCCAGCTCTGTTCTCCAAGGCCAGGAAAGCTCTCAGGTGCGTTTGGGGACATAGGGGTGGCATGGAAATGTGGGTGCTGCCCTCAGTGAGGGCATGAGGACTGCGTACACAGCAGGGAGGTTGTGGTGTTCTCCTGGTACCTGGAGCAGCCAGGCTGCTTCCTGGGAATCACTTCATGCTCAGGGACACAAATCCTGCAGCAAAACTTCTCAGGACCCTGTGGCTGGGGTGATGTGAACTGTGAATGCTTCTGGGAGCATCCCCCCATGCTGGGGTTGAGCCTGTGGCAGGGACAGCCCCAGTCCTGGCTGTCACTCCTCTCTGTGTCGCAGCACAGGAGCAACAGGAGCAGCTCCTGGACAAACAGCTTTGTGTGGGGG